CCTGACCAAGAGGATGAGGTAGATGAGATTTTCTTCAGACAACTAGCAGAAGTTTCCAGATCACAGGCCCTGGTTCTCATGGGGGACTTCAATCACCCCAACACCTGCTGGGAGGGCAATACAGTACTGCTCAGGCAATCCAGGAACTTTATGGAGAGCGTTGGAGACAACTTCCTGGTGCAAGTGTTGAAGAGACCAACTAGGGGCCATACTCTTCTTGACCTACTGCTCACAAACAGGGAAGAATTGGTGGGGGGATGTAGAAGTGGTTGGCAAATTGGGCAGTGATGACCACAAGATGATTGAGTTCAGAATCCTGACAAAAGGAAGAAAGGAGGGCAGCGGAGTACGGACCCTAAACCTCAGAAAAACAAACTTTTACTCTCTCAGGGAACCAATGGGCAGGATCCCCTGGGAAGCCAGTCTGAGGGGGAAAGGAGTCCAGGAGAGCTGGTTGTATTTTAAAGAAACCTTACTGAGGGTGCAGAAACAAACCATCCTGATGTGCAGGAAGAACAGCAAATGTAGCAAGCAATCATCTAGGCTTATCAGAGAACTCTTTAGTGAGTTTAAACACAAACAGGAAGTTTACAAGAAGTGGAATCTTGGGCAAACAACTTGGGAGGGGTATAAGAATATTGCTCAGGCATGCAGGGATGAAGTCAGGAAGGCCAAAGCACAATTGGAGTTGCAGCTAGCAAGGGGTGTGAAGGGTAACAAGAAGGGTTTCTACAAGTATGTTAGCAACAAAAGGAAGGTCAGGAAAAATGTGGGTACCTTACTGAGTGGGGAAGACAACCTAGTGATAGATGATGAGGAAAAGGCTGAAGTACTCAATGCCTTTTTTATCTCAGTCTTCCAAGGCAAGTTCAGCTCCCAGACTACAGCACCGGGCAGCACAGTTTTGGGAGAAGGTGAGCAGCCCTCAGTGGTGAAAGAACAGGTTAGGGACTATTTAGAAAAGTTGGACATGTACAAGTCCATGGGGCCGGATGCAATGGATCTGGGGGTGCTGAGGGAGTTGGCTGATGTGGTTGCAGAGCCACTGGCCATTATCTTTGAAAACTCATGGCAAACGATTGGAAAAGGGCAAATATAGTGCCTATCTTTAAAAAAGGGAAGAAGGAAGATCCAGGGAACTGCAGACCAGTCAGCCTCACCTCAGTCCCCAGAAAAATCATGGAGCAGGCCTTCAAAGAATCCATTTCCAAGCACTTGGAGGAGAAGAAGGTGATTAGGAACAGTCAGCATGGATTCACCAAGGACAAGTCATGCCTGACCAACCTGATTGCCTTCTATGATGAGAAGATTGGCTCTGTGGATGTAGGGAAAGTAGTAGATGTGATATACCGTGACTTTAACAAGTCTTTTCATACAATCTCCCACAGCATTCTTGCAAGCAAGCTGAGGAAGTATGGGTTGGATGAATGGACTGTAAGGTGGATAGGAAGCTGGCTGGATTGTCAGGCTTAATGGTACGAAATCAATGCCTCAGTGTCTAGCTGGCAGCCGGTAACAAGTGGAGTGCTCCAGGGTTTGGTCCTCGGGCAAGTTTTGTTCAATATCTTAATTAACGATCTGGAAGATGGGATGGAGTGCACCCGCAGGAAGTTCACAGATGACACCAAGCTGGGAGTTGTAGTAGATACACTGGAGGGCATTCAAAGTGACCTAGACAAATTGGAGGATTGGGTCAAAAGAAATCTCACGAGGTTCAACAAGGACAAGTGCAAAGTCCTGCACTTAGGACGGAAGAATCCCATATACCTGTACAGCTTAGGGACTGACTGGTTAAGCAGCAGCTCCGCAGAAAAAGACCTGGGTGTTATAGTGGACAATAAGATGGCTATGAGTCAACAGTGTGCCCTTGTTGCCAAGAAGGCTAACAACATACTGGGCTGCACTAGTAGGAGTGTTGCCAGATTGAAGGAAGTAATTATTCCCCTCTATTCAGCACTGGTGAGACTACATCTGGAGTCCTGAATCCAGTTTTGGTCTCCGCGCTATTAAAAGAATGTGGATAAGTTGGAGAGAGTCCCGCAGAGAGTACTGAAAATAGTTTGGGGGGTGCTGGGGCACATGACTTCTGAGGAGAAGCTGAGGGAACTGGGTTTATTCAGTCTGCAGAAGAGAAGACTGAGGGGGGATTTGCTAACAGCCTTTAACGACCTGAAGCGGGGTTGCAAAGAGGATAAAGCTAGATCGTTCTCAGTGGTGGCTGATGACAGAACAAGGAGCAATGGTCTCAAGATGCAGTAAGGGAGGTTTTGGTTGAATATTAGAAAAAACTTTCTCACTAGGAGGGTGTTGAAGTATTGGAACAGATTACCTAGAGAGGTGCTGGAATCTCCATCCTTGGAGGCTTTTAAGACCCAGCTTGATAAAGCTGTGGCTGGAATGATCTAGTTGGGAATGGTCCTGCTTAGATCTGGGGGTTGGACTAGATGACCTCCTGAGGTCCTTTCCAACCCTAATTTTCTATGATTGTTTGATTCTATAGGTAAACTCAGTGAGTGTTAGCAGGAAAGCCCGCTTGTCTTGCTGGAAATTGAGGTAGCACTGGAGGTACTATTGTAGGACTTGGCTTGTTCTTTCCTCTTGACGTTAGTGGGATTTGTAGTCCTCATGCCACAGTCTTGTCTATGAAATTACCAGTGGCTTCAGAGTCCAGTGGGGCAGTCAGCATGGGGAATGAACATTTTTACTCTGGGATTGGAGATGGGTGGATAACAGTAATGGGGGTTTCCATGGGTAGGGTTTTCCACAGACTTCTGGATGCTTTGGGGACTTCAGACAACCCTGAACCAGTCCCCTATACCAGGCCCAAGATCACTTGTTTACCTTGACCCCTTCTCTGAGGTCATGTGGCACTCTGGTGTCCTGGGGTCCCACCATCATGGCACCACTCCTGCTGCTAGCAATGGTCCTGTGCTTTCAGTATGGGGTGCCAGAGCCCTCCACATGCTGGCTTGGTGTCAGAAGCAACTGTAGTAGGGCGAAGCCCTGGAGGGGGCATGGACTCTTTCTTTTCCTCTTTGTTCACAGAGACAGAGGTCAATTGAGATGCTTAGGTCCATGAGCGTATCAAATTCTGAGAGTGTTTCCACCTGAGCCACTTCATCTTTGATCTCTTCCCACAGACCCCCGCAGAAATAATAGAGTTGGGCTGTCTCGTTCCACTGGGTGCCTGCTGTGTAGCAGTGGAAGAAGGAAGCATAAGACATAACAAAATATTCCCCCAGACACAGAGACCACAGTGTGATCACCATCCAGGTTGGGTGAAGGTCTCCAAACATGACCATGAAGTCCTTGAGGAATGCTCCCCAATCTTGGAAAACCAAATGTGTGGCCTATTTCAGAGCATCTTCTGTTAGGAGACTAACTACTATGCTCACCTTTGCTGAGTCTCAGGAATAGAACTCAGGCTGGGCTACAAATAGGATGCAGCTTTGCATAAGTAACTATGGAAACACTGGTTTCACTGTCATACCTTTCTGATAAAAGGATGGGTAAGGAGTTTGAAGTGTGGAAATCTCTCCATAGAGCTGGTAGACCTTGGAGCAGAAAGACTGATTCACTGCCAACGAATGCCAGACCTGATCTTCTAGCATCTGCTAGGCAAAAGCCATCTGTGTCAGCTGGTCTGGCTCAAGCAGGTCCAGGGACCCCAATATGGAGTCCATCTCCACACCAAGCCCGCTTTGTTGTATGTGATAGTCCAGGTAATTTGGCATGTCAGGTCTAGGGGTCATCTCTCGGTCAAGAGCAAACCTAGGAGGTCTAAAGCCAGAAGATCTGTCTGGGAAACTGAGTTGGACCATCCAGTGGGTCACAGAGAACATTAGGTTCAAGACCACAACCTGACACTTTGGAAGCAGTGTGTTAGAGCAGTGAACATGTATTGACCTTCAGACTGTCTCTAGCCCTTCAGTTTCATGGTTTAGCTATTTCTCTAATTTAACAACTTTTGGACTAAATATTGCCCCCTAACTGGTATATGGCAATCTCAAACTAATTATGGCTGTATATCCCAGCTGAACCTGGTCTGTTCGGAGTACTGTAAGGCCTTGTCTTCACTAGGGTTCACTCTGCACCACAAAGTTGTGTGTCAGCTAGGACTGTGGAAAGATCACACTACCAGGTTTCATGGCCCTGCTGTGAAAGCCCTCAATGTGGACGCAGCTCTGCAAACACAGCTTCTGTCAATCAGGGAGGTGGGGTGGGAAAGCAGGCAGAACTGCCTCCTTTTAGCCATCACATGCCATATCTCCACTGGGGGATGCTGCTATAGCTCAGTGGGCAGCAGCCTTATAGTATTGACAGACACTAGGCTTTAGAGCTGCAATGTTAGCCAACAGGATCTCATTAACACTTTCAAAAATTCAAGTCAAAATGAAGCAACTGTACAATTGTACTTCAAAATGCAGTCATCTCGGCCTTAATTCCCCCCATTTAACACCTTCTGAAGTATAGTGCTTTGTTCTGTGTAGCGTCTGATGAGGTGTTAATTGGACTGAACAAGCTCACTCCATCTGGTATCACACCTTTACATTCTAATCGAGACAAAGATAGCAGGATGGAAAATCATTTTTCATTCAAGATTTGTGATTGGGAGAAGGGGATGGCAATAATGTTTTAATGCTAATCACTATGCATTTGATAGCAGCATGGGTAAAGTCCAGATGCTGCTGTTAATCTATTAAATGAAGCCAATGAAATTAATGTCAAATAGTGGATAAAGCATGCAGATGGATTTCTCAAATGTGGCAAAATGAATAATGTCAGAGCTGGGTCTGTGTTCTTAAGTGATGTGCATTAACCGTGAGAGGCACATGACTGTACGTGGCCCTATGGCAAGAAAGGAGACTTGTATGTGGAGAAGAGCAGCATTACTAGGAGATATTTCTGCACTTCTAAGATCTCACTACACACAAGACCAAACAAAGATCATGATGAATTTGTCCCAAATGACAAGTTATTCCAATTATTTTGTAATAACCACCCCAAGAAGTTGATGGTAGTTGTTCCAAAATAATTGCCTGCAAGGACAAAACAAAGGAGGCCTTTGAGTCATGGATGACAATAACCTCCTGCGCTTAGGATACACTATTTATGGTGAGAAAAGAGACTCATTTTGATGGACCACCTTATGAAAGAGGAACCCAGAGCATTTCCACAGGACTACAGGGGAGTGTGTTCTTCCTCTAACAAAGCACATTTATAGCTGGAGTCAGGCCTGCCTCCTGCCTACATGGCACTGCTACTGTACAATAGATTGCAGCAAGTCACCTACTATGCATTCATTACATGGTTTCATGAGCTTGCTGTCAACACAGCTGCCTGTTAACATGAAAAAGGTATTGTTGATAAAATTTTGTCTTCAAACACAAAAGAAAAACAGACTGAACAGTGGCAAACCTTTTGGGTTTATATCCTTTGAATGGATATAAACCCAAAAGGTTTGCCACTGTTCAGCTCAGGGGTCAGAGTGTTTCAAGGTGAGTAACTTTGGTGTGGTGTTGAGTGTGCCTCTCTACCTGATGGACTTTGATGCCCTCCCAGATGCCTCCTCACATTGCTTTGTTTTCCCCTAACTTCCCTGTTTCTTGTGTGGCCTCTACTGCTCCAGGGTCCCAAAGACTAGGTGTTCTCTCTTTGTTTATATGCTGATGTATGTCCATATTCTTCCTCTTAATTTGGGGGTTGGTCTAAGAATCAGTATGTTGGTAGCAAATCTGTTGTTTGCTACTGTGAAGCCTTTGAAATTCTTACTCAGTGCACATACAGCTGGATCATGCCACAGTCTTCTGGTACTCTGGGGCATGGCAAAGCAAAACAAGCCCTTGCTTTTGCAGTTATTCTATCCAGGAGGTATAAGAAACCATTGCCAAGAAGACAGCAATTTGGGACTGTCAGTGTGATACCATGCAATACTACACTAAGGTGAAGTCAGTATGCAAGCAAATGAGGGACAGAAACTGGACTTCCAGCATTGCTCAGACCACCTGGTGGTACCATATGAACTTTACTGGAATTTCAGCATTTGAATGCTAGTATCTGGCCGCACTGGAGAAAGCCTGGATGGCACAGAGGACAGTAGAAATAAGGAATCCCTTCAGGAGACACCTCAGAACCACCCTGAGATAGGAAGTATTGTGCCCCAGGAGACCAACCAGAAGCCCACATAGCTCAAGCTGGACTATAGTCCAAGCTTGTCGAAACCACAGAATCCAAATTATGGACAATGACTGCCTGTTGGCACCTGCAAGCTGATGATTGTCAGGGCCACTACTGTTAACCAAGGCACAATATCTGGAGAACATGAGAGTCCCAAGGGAAAGAACAGAATAAGGAATGCTTGTGGAACTTGTGGAGGTGTAATACACAAAGAATATGGGGATTTCCTGAAGCAGGAAGAGGACACAAAGGAGCTGGCAGGGGAATCCAAAGTGAGAACTGGTAGAAAGAAAATTTAATTTGAATTAAGGCAGAAGGCATGGGAAACAGAAGTGCAGAAGCACCTGACAGACATCAGGCACAGACAGTTCTGCTGGAAAATATGTTCCATAGCTGCTCCTCATCATTCACGTACATACCCTTCATTGCTCAGAGAACTGAGCCTATTGAAAAGAGGTATTTACCAGCAGGGACCTCAGCTCTAGCTATTTCTTGTCTAACAGGGAGAATAGCATCTTACAGAACCTAGTTCCTTTGCTACCCTTACCTACATGGTCTCCTGCTACTGCACTCTGGCCCCTGAGGCTCCTGACCAAGCAGGAGAAGAAATGGCTTCTCACCACCACAGCTGAGTCCCACCCCCAAACACTCCTTTCTGTTGCATGCTGATCTTTCTTTAACTTTTTATCTGCACTTTAGTGACAAAGCCTGGTTTTATTTACTGAAATGAAAGCATCATCTGCTTCCATCATCCAAACAAGAGTTACTTGTAAGATATATAACAGGCCCTTAATGTAGGAAATAAGCTAGCTTTGGCCAGGTATTCACAGAGGCATGGTGTAGTGAGAGAAGGAA